GGCCTGCCTGAAACCCCTCCCGGGGCGGGGCCAGCCACGACTCCTCTGGGCAGCCTGTGCCAGCGCCTCACCACCCGCACTGCAAAACATTTCTTCCTTATGTCCGGTCTAAACCTGCCCTCTTTCGGTTTAAAACCATCGCCCCTTGTCCTGTCACTGCAGGCCCTGGTAAAAAGTCTCTCTCTGTCTTTGTTACAAGCCCCTTTATATGTAGAAAGGCTGCAAGAAAGCCTCCCCGGAGCCGTCTCTTCTCCAGGCTGGACACCCCCACCTCTCCCAGCCTTTCCCCATCCCAGAGCTGTCCCAGCCCTGGGACCATTCCCGTGGCCGCCTCTGGCCCCGCTCCAGCAGGTCCCTGCCTTTATTGCACAGAGGACCCCTGAGCTGGACGCAGGGCTCCGGGGGGGTCTGGCCAGAGTGGAGCAGGGGGCAGAACCCCCACTCGCCCCGCTACGGGGACGCAGCCCAGGGCACGGTTGGCTTCCTGGGCTGCAGGACCGCATCACTGGCTCACATCCGCACCCGCAGCACCCTGGTGCACGGCCTGGGCCCATCAGACAACATGTGCCAGGCTTGGGCTGAGGGGTGAACTCCGGTGGGCTTCCAGGAAGGCTGGAGGAGGGTTGACACGGCTGTGTGCAACACTCACGCTTTCACCCTTTCTTTTCCTCCAGTTTTGAGCACTCGCTGGAACTGGGCTCCGTCAGGCGCTTGGGGGAGTGCAGGGTGGCAGAGGCTGCTCCTCCCCTGGGGTGGGGGCATCGCCCACAGCCCCCCCGGGCCTCGCAGCCCCAACTGCAGGGACTGCTCCTGCTGCGAATGGCAGCCAGGGCTGCCTGTCCCCAGAGCCCGGCGCAGCCCCTCCGCCAGGCACCGCTTCGGCCACGGGCGCCCCAAAGGGCGACCTCGACGCGGCTGCTGCTGCGCGCTTGCAAGGCGAGCGCAACGTAGGACTGTGTGCTTGCATTGGTCATGCTGTCAGGGGCAACTGGAGCCAATCTGGCAAATAGCCATTGCGGAGAACAGTACCTGGATCTCTTGTTTCAGCATTTTGAGAAATAAAGCGTAACAGATGCAGCTCGAGGGGCTGGATCTGATGCGGTTATTCTAGTGGCATTTCATGATTATTTTTTCACACTTGTGTCCCTGCTATGAAATACGGACTTGTGGGCCATGCTCAGGGTTAGGACACTCGGGCCCGGACACGCACGTGGATCAGAACCGTCGCTGTCATGAAATAAGTCTATTTTGTGCTGGCCAGACCAGTGCCCTGCACCATGCCGCCTTTCAGCTGGGCGGGCAGCTCCAGACTCTGCCTTGGCTTCAGATTCTGCCACAGCTTCAGATTTTGCCACAGTTTATCTGGAAAGATGAGGCAGGGGCGTGCAGAGCTCCGGGAAGCCGGGGTTTCTGCGGGAAGCCCCCAGTGCAGGGAAGGGCTCAGGGCACAGGTTAAGCATGGGGGCCATGGTAAGGGGCAGCATTCATTTTCCCTGGGCAGTCTGAGCCCTCTCAGCAGGGCTTCCACAGGAGCTGGGGCTGGGATGGTGCAGCGACCAGCAGGTGACTGGTCTGCCCATTTGTTAGTTTGCAACCAAATCTGGAAAACAAGCACAGAGGAAATGTAAAACGACAAGGTTTGTTTCCCAAATGTCAATGTTCTTCCCCATATAGCTGCTGATGCTGGATTTATAAACACCAGATGGGCTGGAGAAAATAGAGCGGAGGAGCCTGCGTGACACAAGCCCAGATCGCGACAGCCCAACAGGACGAGTGCAGGTGACAGAAGGGACAGACATCAGCAAACCGTGAGGCTCTCAGGTGGCCCCGGAATCCCATCCCAAGGAGGGAAGCAGGAAAACCACACCGCATGAAGCGGCTGGCGGAAAGGTCACCGTCCCGTGGAAGCAGGGGGGCACCGTGGCCAGCCCTGAGCCCCTGGGCCATGGTCAGGCGCCCGACACAGCCCCGGCTGCCCTGCGCGCACTGGGCACTGAGCCGGCCGGGCCGGCGAGCCAAGGCTTCAGGCATCCCGGGGCAGAGTCATGCTCTGCACCCTTCCCAGCGAACGACAAAAAGCCCCAGGCGGTCTCCTCTCCTTCTCCTCCCCCTCCTCCTCCTCCTCGCTTGCCGCCCAGCACATGTTGGCTCGCAGGGGACCGGTGCACCAGCACCCCACTGCTCCCCCAGGCCTCCTCGCAGTCAGATTTTTCACCTGTACCTTTCAGTTTAGTTCTAGCGAACGTGGTCATCAGCACCAGCAACAAGCCTTGTCCACGGCTGCTTTATTTGTGAAATTCAAACCCAGACACGCTCGTATTTCAAACAGCTTCGAAATCCAGGTGGTGGTCGCGTCCACATCAGATGTCCATGTACCTGCAAACAGGCTATCTATAGCATGTGTGCATTCTGCTGATAGCATATTCACACACAAATGATAAAGCAGCAGAGCTGGATCTATATACAAAAGCATAAATGGTGACAGAAGAGATGGAATACACTTACCTAAGCCAAGCTGTGCAGCAGAGAAACATATTGAACTCTTCTCATGTGGGTGGCTTACGTTTTGTTTGCTTTTGGCCCCTAAGATGTTCAAAGAAACGCTGATAAAATCCATGCACGCAGAGGAAAATGTCCTTTTCATCACCACCGCTTGCTATCTTGATTAAACATAGAGAGAAATTACTTGCTAACAGGGCTAAAACTGGGGTTCTTGCTCCAGCTGCTCCGTGTTCTTGTTTCTCTCTACCAGCGCAGGCAGCAGCGCAGGCAGCAGCGCAGGCAGCAGCGACCCGTATGCTTGTGGTGCTGCCCTGCCAGAAGGGCTGCAAGGAGCAGGCGGGAGCCAGCAGGCAGTGCCGGGGCTGCCCCGCACCCCCCAGCCTTCGTGACCCTGATGTCAAACACCAAAGTGCCCAGGATAGGGGCGTGGAGGAGACCTGACGAAGCCCATCTCCCATCCAGCCCTTTCCCGAGAGCCCAGCCATGCTCATGGCCATGGGGACCAGCCCCTGCCCTCACCCCCAGGGGCTGCCCTGGTGCCCAGCCCTCCTTCATGGCTCCAGCCCGGGGGTCCCCACGATGCCCGGGGGTCCCCACGATGCCCGGGGGCCCCTTCCGCACACGCTGCAGCCTGCATGGCCCTGGGTGCACAGGGGCAGCTTTTAGCCAAGCGGTGACAAGGCAGATAACCGGAAAGAAAGAACAGCTTCAATCAAAGTCTGAGCTTCCCCTACTCCCAACTGCTCTGTTAAAACACTGCCTGTGCCTGTAGCACCTTGATCTTCCTCGGAGGGGAAAAAAAAAAAAGTCTTCCAGAGGCCTTGCTAGGATGGAAGAATTTGCTTTAAAATGTTCTTTTCTCCTCCGGTGAGGCAATGCACAGTGTTTCACACCAGCAGCCAGGCCAGCCGCCCTCCCCGGGGAGCACTGATGTCTGAGCAGCGCGTGAGCTGGGGTGATCCGGCCACCAGGGCTGCAGGGCTGAGCGGAGCGCTCTGCCTCCGGTTAGCCAGCCAGCAGATCCGCCGAAGGCATCCTTCAGCTGCCCTGACTTCCAAGGGAAGCTGCGGTCTAGAAGCAGAGCGGGCAATTGAAGGAAGCAGCAGTATTTGCGAGAAGGGAAAGCACCTCCGTGCATCAAATACGTAGGATCTTAACCCACTTTTTGTTAGTCAGCCCCGTCTGTAGCCTGCCAAAGCACACACACGGCACGGCTTGTCCCTTCCCTCTGAAGAGCATATGTAAAAATCTGCTTGAAGCACAAGGAGAAGCAATGTACATATATTTAATTTGGGGCCAGCTTGTGCCCTTGCTGCAAGTTATTTTAGAGGTGACAAAGAGATGAATGGGATAGAATAGCACAGCTGGGAGAGTATTTCAGCTGGAAGGGCCCTACAAGGGTCATCTCGTCCACCTGCCTGACCATTCAGGGCTGACCAAAAGTCAGGG